AGACTGCCCAAGGTCATGGCATTTTTAATGCTGATACTAAGGCTCCCAATTTATATTCCATAGTGATCAACTCTACATAGAAATCAGCAATTATTTATTGTGAATTTATGATCAAGTTACTCAGACAAATATTAAGAGCTCTCTAGCAAGGAGAAATGATCTACATATTATTATTTAAAATCATTTGATATCCATAATTAATTTGCCATGGCATTATTCACTTTTTCTTAGAAATAATTGGTTTCTATTTTCTCTTTCATGTCTCTCTGATGGACTATGAAATACTCATAGCCTGATTGTATTTTTCACTTATTTCTTCACAATACATACATATGCCTTCTCTTCCTCTCAAGATGGAAGAGTTTTGATGCTAAAAATAATGCTATTGGAATAATCCTTCAGTTAGGACCAATCTTATCCCACCTAAGAAGTATATAAATGGGCTCAAATTAGGTTCTGGACTCCCTATATCCTCTGCTTATGTTGTTATTGTTATTGGCTTCTTCTGCGTAATTTTGCATGATGAGGTTTATTATTCAGAAAATATCCATGTAAGATAGATATTTTTTCATTCTGGAAATAAGCTTTTCCTGGTCCTAGGGGCTTAAGTGCCTTTTTGTGTCATAGACACTACTTAATCATGTTCTTAATAATAATAACAATCCACTTGTTGCTATATGATAACTAGATTTGTAAATTATTAATTAAAGGAAAAGCTTCCTACATTGCATTCTTTTTCTTAAGCTGCATGTTACAACTTAGTAAAGGTAGTATTTTTTTTGGAAACGAGTTTTTAGAGTATGTATATAGGCCTTGGTCTTTGTTTGCAATTAGCACCATATGTTATTTTATGCCTTTTCAATTTGCTGTGAGCTCTTTGAGAGTAGGGAACATGCCATGATCATTATATCCAGTGGTACCTAACAGAGTGTCTTGTAAAAAGCAAACACTCAGGAAGACTTGCTGAATGAATGTATAGCTATTATTAACAGATTTACAATACCCTGATAACACCAACACATCAACAGCTAAATATTTTCTCCAAAGGTTCAATGGTGAGTCTGCACATAAGAAGCTAGAATTTTGGCTTTCATGAAATAACACAGAGGCAATATAGTACAGTAGTTAAGCATGGAGACTCTGGAAACATATTGCTTGGGCTCTACGCCTGGCTCCACCGCTGGAAGATCTTGAGCCAGATTAAGCTTTCTGTGCCTCAAGTTTCTTATTAGTGAAATGGGAATAATACTCTAACTCTTATTTGTTAAGTTTAACTAAATTAATATATACAAAGCATTTAGAACAGGATCTATGCTGTTACAGAAAAGAAGACATTATAGGTTTCTTATTTTCATTACTATGATGAATATTTACAGTACCTGTCGCACAGGCAAAAGCTGCCAATCATGTAGCAGCTAATCCTTCAATGAAATGCATAGGGTATTTTCCAGTGAAAGAGCTTTGGGTTTGTATTACTGGAATTGTTATCGTTGTTTTAGGAAGCAATCAAACAACCTGGAAATAAATTCTATCTATAATTTTGCAAAAAGGAAAAATATCTTCTTACAAATTACTCTATGTGTTTGATGTAAGTAGTTAAAATCTTATTTTAAAATCTAAGAAACCACCAGGATATCCTGAATGCATAATATATATGATTTGCAAGTTGGATTAGGATTTGTAAAATTACTTTATGGAGAGTTACTTGGTTTGAAAAATGTAATGTGTATAGTTTATCTGAGCTAGCATATATGATATATTTAGCTCTAATGAAATGTGACCTAGATACATTAATGTAACAGAATAGTTTTGGAATTATTTTATAAGGCTAATTACTTTCACTTTCCAGCTGTTTCTTCTTTCAAAATTGTGGACTCTAGTGGACATATTAGAGCCGTCCATCTAAATTCAACTTACAGGGAAAAGTGAAGTTTGACCAACACATGGTTTTGATTTGAGAATTTGCTTGAGTTTTCTTTTCCTTTTCTTTTCTTTTCTTTTTTCTGTTCTTTTTTCTTTCCTTTCTTTCTTTCATTTATGAAATACATGTGATATTTTAAAATTTGTAAATACAGTGACATGCCATTCTTGTTGAAATAATTCTGGTACTTCAAAATATGTAAAAAAAACGCTATGATCAAGTTATGTTTGAGTGAGCCTAAATGTATTTTGTAGAAATGTTATATAAATGCTATTCTCATTTAAATCCTTATGCCTATTTTATTACTCAGATACCTATCTTTCTATAAATACATTTGCATGTGTGTATACATATATAATATACATATGTATATATTATATATACTTATATATACATATTATCTTATAGAACTTAAAGATCAAGTCCCCTAGGTTATATAGTGTAGTAGTTTCCTGGAGTAGTAATGCCAAATCTCTGCATAGCTTTGCCAGAAAAAGGGAAGCTCTACAAAATATCTGTTCAAAAAACATGAACAGTTTTGTAGTGAATTTTGAAACTGTACAATATTGTGAGATACCAGGAAAGAAAAATCAGACAAAACCAAGATCCCCCAATTCATCTTTCTTTTATTTTTGGTCCTCAAGTGGAAGTCTCCTTAGGGAATTGGGTGTTGGGGATGGGGAATATAGAAGAATTGACTCCCTCCCCCCACACCCTAATCCAATTTGTGGGAGAATAATTCAAACAATTTCAAACAGAAGGTTTTGCACTGCCCTAGCCTGGATGGGAATGGATTTCCCTGCAACCAATTAGTTGTGAATTCTGCGCGATTGGCTGCCTTAGGACATGCTCCAAAAAAAGTGGGTAGGAAGAGCTTAATCATGACGGACACAGCCTGGCTCTCAAATCACAGGCAGTTCACAGCACTCCATCACAGAGAGGGGAGAAGAACATCAGGCTGGATTGGTCAGACGTTTGGGAAGCTGCACAATCCTAGAAGAAATGTGGCTGGACTAGTACCACAGGAAAATATCAGTATAGGTACAGCAGTAAGTAGAGGTCCACTGCCTTCAATCAGCTTTTCTGATTTCCATTTCCTTTAATGTGCTTTGAGGTTTAAATCACAGCCATTCAACCGCAATGAAATTACAAAGTACCTTGTGGGGAAAAAACTAAAAATCATGGTTTTATAATGACTTTGTGTGTGTGTGTGTGTGTGTGTGTGTGTGTGTGTGTGTGTGTGAGTCTCTTTCAAATAAGTGCATATCCAAATCTACAGACTATTCTACCATACGGGTTAAAAAAAAAAAAAAAGCAAATGGTGAAAATCACCCAAAACAGCTTAAACTTTGTGAAGTTACTTATAAATAGGTTGTATGGCAATGAGATTACACATTTAATAAGGGTGCCAATTTAATAAGGCTAATTTTTAGTACTAATAATTCCAATAGATACCAATTTTGAGATGAAGCAATTAAACTAAAACCCGAAAGATTGGCATTAGTATCCACTGAAACACTATAGTGGTAAGTATGAGCATAATCCATGAAGATATTTACAAGAATTGTGACACTTTTGAAAGAGAAATTTTGTTGGAGCACAGCAATTAAAGTTGGGAAGAAACCATACGTTGTTCAACTTCCATTATCAAAATATAAACAATTTAGCAGTGATATAAATGGCAAAGTGATAGAGATCTTCATAAAGATTGACTCATAGAAATGGAAAATAGAAAAATACAGTACCATGTGAGGTGTACACATCAAGTAAAAGATATGTAGATCCCCTAGTTGCAAGGTTTTAAATGACATGCTTTTTATCTTTGTGAATTTCAATTAGACTGCAATGGGCGAGTCAGGGAGGGAATATTAATGATGGAGGAGAGAGAAAGCTGGGTGGTGTTCCATTCTTCACAGAGACTGCTAAATAGGACAGCAAATGTTTGTTTAGGTTGTAGCGTATTAAATGCTCCTTCAGAAAGTGGTAATTAACAGGTTAAAAAGAACAGCTTGAAATATTTACAATGTAAAAATTTTACTCTCTTCACATAATCTTTAGAGCAAAGCTAAAATTTATGTAGATTAGAACAGTGTCTGTTGTTATGAAAACGGCACCATCCAGGAAAAACATCTGAATTTTTGGTTCGTAACTAACAAAACTGAAGTGTTTTGGCATATGTTGGCTCCAAATGTAATATGACAGAAACATATCAGTATACTTATCTCTTTTCCCCCCCTTTAAAAGCATCTAACGTTTATAACGACTTCTTGAAGAGATAAATATCCACTCTGCTTTGCCTTAGTAATATTTAGGGCGGGCATATCATTCTGTCTATGTGCAGTACAAAAAAGGAAAATGTCTCTTTTTGTGTTCAAGTTGCACGTTTGGATTTTGTCGCTTCAGATAAAATAGAAGAGAAATGAGACAGATCAAACACATAATGCTGAAAGTGTAGGATGGGACTGAGATTAACAACAGGTCCCTTTGCCAGGGGGAAAAGCCCAAATGGGGGAAATCCTTACACTCTGCTCCATTTCCCACGGGGGGAAAGAACCACAGAGGTGGTAGAAACGCTGCCAGCCCCATTTTGCTCAGGGGAAATGCAAACTTTTCCAGAGCTGCTGATTGAGTTTGATCACCAGGTAGGGAAGACGCCTGTGACAAGGGATTGGGGAAAAGCACTGGTGAGAGTGGGCGGGAGGTTTCCCAAGATGTATAATCTACAAATGGACTTGACTGACCAGCTCCAGGGAAGTCTGCAACCCTCAGAGCTTTGAAGAGAAATTGGTCCTGATGGAAGGGGCGTGAAGGAATGAGCGATATAGTATAGAGAGGGCTCAGGAAATCCAAGAAACTCCCTGCTGTCTGATTCCACGAACATGCGTTGAACTTGGTCCTGCGTGGATGCGCTGATGACTAAGTAAAGGCGTGATGAGTCCCCCAGCTCTCCAGCGGGAGCGATGTCTCTTTACCTCTCCTCCGTAGCCACGTCGCTCCAGAGCCGGGGATGTTGGGGGGCGGGCGGCAGGGCGCGGCCCCATGGACCTGGGGCGGCACAGACACGTTGTATTCCCGACTCCGCACCCACACCCACCAGCAGTCCCCCCGAGAACCTTGGGCCTCCGCGTAGCCCCGGCGGCCGGCTGCGGGGAGCGGTCCCAGGCACCGCGTGGGCTCCGCTCCACCGGCGCGGCGTGGACGCCCCGAGCTGCGCTCCGGGCGCACCGGGGCGCCCTCCGCCGCCCAGGGCTGCGCGGCTGCAGGTGCCGGGCGGGCGGTTTCCCCGGATCCGGATCTGGATCCGGGAGGGGGTGGGGGGTCCCTGCGAGCCCTGGAACCTCGTTAGCCCTCCTCCCGGGCCTGGCTCCTCCTCCTCCTCCAGGCGTGGGGCTCGTGCCCGCCGCTGCCTGCGCGCACCGCGCCTCCGCTCGCTTCCCCCCACCCCGCCGGCGCCTGCCAACGCTTCCCCCTCCTCCCCTCCTCCTCCTCCGCCCATCACCGCCACTACGAACGCCTTCGCCTCCTTCTACTCCTCGCGCCGCCGCCGCTGCTCCTCGCGCTTCTTTCTCTCGGCTTCCACCAGCCCTTCGCTCGCCGCTCGCCTGGCTGCTGCAGTCTCTCTCTCTCTCTCTCTCTCTCTCTCTCTCTCTCTCTCTCTCTCTCTCTCTCTCTCTCTCAAGTTTCCTATCTCCTCAAGATCAGGGCAAAAGGAGGAAAACACCCAATTCCGCTGGCTGTTTCAGGTAAGGTGTCACACGTTGGTCCCACTGGGGACCCTGTCCATTTGCCTCTGCCCCCCCCCGTGCATGCCTCGCCTCCCCCCGCCCCACCCTCCCGTGCTCCCTGGAAACCGAGGGTGTGCAGGTCGCCCCCTCGTCTCCAGCACGTTTCAAAAACAATTTCGATACTCATCGCCAGAAGCATATTTGCAAGTACAATAAGCTCCGCTGCGCCCGCGCGGCAGCACGGTAGCCTGGCTCTTTTATAGTCTCCAACTTTGCACGCCGTGCCTGCCTGCCGCCGCCGGAGCCCGGAGCCCCGCGCTCCAGCGCGGATCGCGGTCCTCGGCTCCCGAACAGCTGGCAAACGCGTCGTTTCGCAGCAGTTGATTCAACCCCGGCTGCCTCCAAGACGTGGTCTGGGGCAGCTGTGGTTGGGCAGGGAGGGAGATTATTTTATTGTAGAGAGAGTGAAGAAATGAAAACGTGAAGACTGTGTTGGCTTACTGTAATGAAAAGGATAATAATCGAAAAAGTGGGCTGACTTGCCCCCCTTGCTTTTCTGGTTGGGATTGCGGGGGTGGTCTTGGTTGAGGGGGTTGTGGCACGAAGCACCCATTTCTCCTCCCCTTTCAGTCTCCCCTGCAACCCATTCTCTTCTCTAGCTTACATGTCAGATCAGGGTCCCATGTGTTGTTTGTTATTACGTGTGTGAGCACAAAGCAGTGTTTGCTGACGATGGAGCTGGGGGAAGTTACTGGCAGAGCAAAGTCTGATGGCTTGATCATCACTCTGGCTGTCAAAAAAAGAGAAAAAAAGAAAGAAAGCAAAGGAAATAAAAAATCCCTCCCCCAATTATCACGCCCTACACTCACTGCATCGGAATAATCTCCGTAGCTTTAACTCCAATTCCCATCTGAAATGACAGTTTTTTGGGCTATTTGGATGGTGGGACTGAATTTAATTTTCAGTATATTTTGTTTTTCTTTTATGGCTTTACAAAGAGTGGCAATGAAGACGAAATTGAACATGTACAATATGCAGTTGCTACTTCTCGTTTTCTTGATGTGGGACCCAGCCAGGTGAGATATTTATTGTATTTCACTCTTTTAATTCAGGCTAAAGGTGTGTTTCTTGAATGGCATGAAGGCAGGGATGGCTTTTGAGAAGTTGGAGTATTTTGAAGAATTATTTCTGATCAAAAAAGATTGTACCAGGAAACTGAACTATGAAGTGGCAGAGACGATAAAGAAGTTTACTGCTTCTTGTTTTTAGCTATAAATACAAAAGCGAACAGAAAGAGTTTCTTTAAAAAAATCAGAAGAAAACAATAATCCTTTGAATGGCATTTTCTTGCAAGAAAATGAAGTGATTAAGTTGTATGCACTTATAATAACACCAAAATTCGGTAAGGAAGCCAACAGTTTTCCTTTAAGCCAAACAAAAAAAGACAAGCTAAAATGATTTGAGTGTTAATTTTTTCTTTTTCTTTTTATGGTCTTGGCTCTTTTGGTCAACAGAGAAAACCCAAATGATATGTGAGCCTTAAACCTCTAGGTGGAGGTAGCATACAAGTTCACAATCACAAACAATAAAATAAAAGCTTTGTTTATTAATCAACTTTTTATAGTATTGATTTAGAGATCTTTTATTTCTAAAATGGTTGCTGCATAAAGGGTACTTACTTTAAACATGTAATTAATTTTTTGACTATGTTCTACAAATATGAAATTAATTTTTAGAGTTTTTAATAACTTCATCATAGTTGTAGTCTTTTCTGATTTTTGTCATCAGTGGGTATCTTTTATTTATTGCCTTTAGGATATGTTTTCAAAATACAATGGGACTTAAAATACAAGATTCATAAGAATGTTCATGTAACCATTAATTTTTAGAAAACAATAAGTCTTTATTATACCTTTATTTCTCTTTTAATTTTTTTCATTTTCCTGTTCCGGTAATTGTCAAAGTATGAAAATATTTTCTGGAATTGAGACGAAATCTCTTTCTAAAGACTTATTTTAATTGGAAAAAAACTCATTTAACATCTTAATATTGACTTTAGAAAGAAATTGTGATGTGATTAAAAACCACTTTTGACTGAAAATCTCTATGGGCAACTTTATGACTATCTTAGTGATTGGTTTTAAAATTAGCTTAATTTAGAAACTTCTGAGGCTGGAGGATATAAACTAATTTGCTTACATAATTTTTAAATGTTTATATTCATATCAGTGTTTTAATATTATCTCTGCTCTCAAGAGAATATTTATTTAAAATTGGTTACCGATTTTTGCTGTATTATGACTACTTTTAGCTACTAGCTGTATAATCATTTAAATGCAGATGGACTCTGTCAATGATATTTTACACAATAAATCTTGATCAGGATGCAGATTACGTAGAATCTTTGATTTTAAAGGAGGGAACAAACCGTGGTCATTTAGTAATTATTGAAAATCCTCAGTGCTTAGCCATATTTACCTCTGTAGTTGTCTGTTCCGTATGTGACCAGCAATGCTCATGCCAGTATTTTATTGTATTAAAATATTCTTTTTTCTTTTCTCTTCTTTTTCTTTTTTCTTTTCTTTTTTTTTTTTTTGGCCAGCAATTTAAATCTATGAATCATTCTGGGGGAAAAAGAAATGGCAGTGGCAGTGAAAGGGGACATTCTGTTTTATACGTCCAGTTGCTTCTGCACCAAATTGCTGGGTGTCACAAAATCAGGTCTCTGGTTTTCTGATGGAGAAATAATGGAGAAAATCGCTGTTTCTAACCCTCTTCTGATGATATTTTTAAGACCATTTGTTCCTTCCAAAAATTTACCTCACACACACTTATAAAAGTAGCTGGGCATTTGTACCTTTAGGTGACCCCTGTCGCTCTCCTCAGAGGCCAATCACGAGGGGTCTCCTCCCTGGCTCTCTGCAGCTGTGTATGTGCTGCTGAGCCTTTCAGAGCTCACCTCCACCTCCTGGCTACAGTGGAGCCTGGAACACAGCCAGCGGAGTTCCCCTGATGTCTGTATTGTACTTGGCCATTGGGTGGAGGTATTCCCAAAGTAAGGAAATCAGCTCTGTTTAAAAGAAACAAAAAACATAAAAGAGAAAAAGAGAGAAATTTATGAAGAAGATAGCAAAATTTTGTGCCTCCAAGTAGGCATTCTTTTTTTCCCCAATTAATGTTCAAATCACTGAAGAATTATTTCAGGAGACCCTTTGGTTATCATACCTTTCTAAATGCAGAATAACCTGACTAAAGTGTCTGAATGTGATCATCTACAATCATAATATACTCTAGGGAATAGATTTTAGAAAAAAATGAATAGCCCACACACAATGCTAAATAGTAGGTAGCTGAAATAATTTTGACATGATATTTTGTAATAATATAGTATTTAGTATCCATTTTCCATAGCATATTTACCTCCCTGGTAGACATACTGGTATTTATAGTAGTGAAAAACAGGAGGAAAATGGGTGACACTAATAGTTTAGGGAGCCTTAAAATTCAAATCAAGGAAGAAGAGCATGTTGGCACTTGCAAAACACAGATATGTATATATATCAGCTTGTAAAATTATCTGTTTAGGTTGGTGCTGGCTAACATCCAAGAAGATGAGGCTAAAAATAACATTACCATCTTCACAAGAATTCTAGACAGACTTCTGGATGGTTACGATAATCGTCTTAGACCAGGACTGGGAGGTAAAAATAGTTTTACTTTTTTTTTTTTTTAAACTCTCACAAAATAACGCCCTTAAAAGTTAAAGTTACTATTCATATTTTAATACATTTTATGTATAAATGCATTGCCATGTGTTAAAAACCATAGATACTAGAAAGTAAGGTGTATGAAATAAACATTATCTGTGATTCCTTTTATACAGATATAACGTGTTGAACATATCTTTTATAGAATGCCTAGCATCATATAAAAGCCCATGCCTTTTGCATGAATAGTTTTTAAGTTAACTCTCTTATAATGGCTAAGTTTTTCAAACTTAGACTTTATTAAAAGGTAACATTATTGGGCAGACATGCCTGTGTAGTATCTTTGGTTTCCTTCCTCATATTTTACAGATACCTGTTTTCATATCTGTACAGAAGTGAGGAACATAAAGAATATCTGGGTTGTATTTCAACACATACTCTTTTTAGGATCCTATGATATTTCTTTACACATGCATGTGACATTTCTAAAGTGCAGCACAGGTTTGGCATTCTTGAAACTTTCAAAGACATTGTAGACATACATTACCTGCAGGCCTAAATTTACTGGGCTGTGGCACAGTTTGACTTCAAATTAAAATATTCATTTTCAACTCAGAAAAACAAATTTATTTTTATCAATAAAGATAAAGGAAATTAGGAGTGGCTAAGGTGTTACATTTTAATTATCCTTCAGCATAGCTGGGTGATACTAAGGAGGTTAAGTGAACGTAGGGTAGGTGTGCAATTCTTAAAAGGATTCTGAGTCAAAATATTGTTCCTCATCACTTCTGACATGAATATATATACCTGCATGCACACATTTATCACCTGTATGTTACGCCTCTAAGGATGTGCAGTTTCATAATTAATTTAAAATTAAGACAAATTAATTGAACACTTGATACTAATCAAAGGTTTATACAGTTAACCTGGTTATTACCAGATTGGCAATTTAGCAATATTGAATTGCTTGAAAAGATATTTATTGACTAAATGCCTGGATGTTTATGTAAATACTTTCTTTGAAAAATGTAGGTGGTTGTGAATTCTATATATATCTGGCAATTGTATGGTTAGCATTGTCCAGTAGTCAGAAAAAGTCAGAAAAGACCCAACTTATTTTTAAATAATATGCCATTTAATTGCTATTTGTTTTTTACTTATATCCTGAGTAGTACCTTGCATTCTAGGAGAGAAGCACTGGGATGGAATAGTGTTCAGTATTATGACACATTGTATCTCTCAGAGAGAATTCAGTTGTTCAATGGACATTAGTTTTCCAAAAGGAAAAACTAAGAAGAAGAGAATATTCCCTCAGTAATTAGTGTGTCTAATGTGCATGAATATAAGGAATTACTGTCCATGTGAGTATATATGACAGCGAGCTCTTGCCAAACTCATACAATAGAATATGTCTCATAGAAGGCTTTCATAAGTCATGATGGTGCTTTGAGGTAGATTGCAGTAAGGGAGATATTTTTCCTAAACCATCAATGCTGTTATTATTTTTAAATAAATTATAGGCTGTCAAAACCATAAAACACTTGAGCTAGACTTTAGATTTTGTTTCTGAGGTTTTAGGAAAAATAATTGTGCTGTGGGTGTCTGGTAGGGTAGCAGAAACTACCCATTGCAGGATTTGGGTTTTGCCCTCTGTTACTTCATATTTCTTTTGTAATATAATATCTCTTACATTCTGTTTTACTTCCATTATCAGGACTCAAATGCAGATCCTCGTCACTCTATTAGTTGGGTTAATGCAGTAGACCAAGTGGGTCTTGCCTGGTGTCTTCCTTCCCCCATCTTTCTCAGATATGGTGCATAAGATAACAGCTCACAGTCAGAATAGTCTTCTTTTATTCTTACAATGTGGCTTTCCATATGTCACGCTCTCCTCTTGACCTTCCTTGGCTCCCCATTGCCTTCAGTAGACAGGGGTGGGGAGTAATGGAAAGAATATAGGCCTTGGAGGCAGATAGATCTAGATTGGAATTTCTGCTCCGCCCACACACAAAACTGTGCCTTGGCCAGATAATCGCTATTTGTCTTGTTTTAGAATGGCCATGGCCTATCTCCAAGTTTACCTTATAGGGTTGTTTGGAGGATTACATAAAAAGTGTACACAAAGCACCGTGCCACGTACCAGCAGTTCAACAAAGATCTGTTCCTTCCCTCCTCCCGTAGATTTCTAATTTGCCAATCCGGGTTTTCTAAATCTGCTTCTCTGGCTTCATTTTCAGTTTGCCCTCTCACCTGTCCTGCACGTTAAACACATCTGTTCATTTTCCCTTGATAATCCACTCACGTCTGCTCCCCTGGCCCTTGGTCATAGTATCTCCTCTCGTTGGAATTATTTTTTTCTCACCCTCTCTCATGATCTAAACCCTACCTTTCCTATCATGACCACCTCAATGCTGGTCCTCTTAGGTAAAGATATTTCTTAACTGAATTGAAACACCCAGATTCAGTTTTCTCTCTGTCGAACTTCTTTAGCGGTTGTTGGCTCTGTATCTCATTTGGTACTTACTTTGTACTATCTTGGATTATTTATCACCTTTTTATGTGTCTCCTGTTACTTTAAGAAGATTGCAAGCTCATTGAGGCAAGATACTGCATCATAAATCCTCTGTGCGCTCAGCAATTAAATATTGATTTGCAAATCGTGACCATAAAATAAATGGGGATTGCTTGATTAACTTTTCTATGACCAGTTAATCATCTGTAAAATGGGGCTACTCACACCTGGCTGACTGTTTAGTTAGGAAGGCTGGAATGACATGTTGGGCATCATGCTGCAGAAACGGAGTGTGGCTTAGTGACAAGAACCTAACTTTAGACTGTGAAGATTTAGCCAAAATCCTGGCTCTGGTACTGAGCCATCCTGTGAGCTTTCAAAACTTAACCCCCCCGGGGCCGCATTTGTCATGCATCAAATGGGATTGCGAATAGTACTATTCTTAGAGTTTTTGATGAATATTAAATAAAACAACATATGCAAAGAATGTAGCAGTGACTGGCAGATAGTGGAGAGTTAATAAATAATCACAAGTAAAAGACTTTGAAAAACTTTCTAAATGGACTGTTGACAATTTGAATTATTGTTATGGTCATTTCTGCATCCAGAATTCTTAGCCTGAATGTTGGTATGTCATTCTGAATGGAAAGTTCAGGGGGATTACTTGTATCATTCTATCCCAAAAATTAGTAAGAGAAAAATGGGTTTGAGTCAATGTTAATATATCAAACCGAACATATTCAATGATGGATATTCTGGATAATTAATCTCAATTATTATTTTCTTCCCATTCTGACTATAATATAAATGAGTACATAAGAAACAACAATCAGTTTTGGACAATGAGTTAGAAAAATTGTTCTTTTCACCTGGCCTTACCACTTATTAGATCTTACCCTAGACAAATTGTTAGACCTTCTGAGCTTTGGTATTTTCTTTGGGAAAATGAGAATAATAATATTTTATTCTGAAAGGAGGGGGATAAATTAGAATTCATATACAGAGGGTGCCAATGTATACACATTTTAAGAAAGGAAAACTGTATTAAAATTGTAATACTCAATGTGCACTGATAACAAAAGATGAATACAAGTCACGTTTGACTTCTGCAATTATAAGAGGTGCACAAAGTGGTTCCCATCAGCATCCAGACACTTCTGATTATGGTGAACCACAGCTTGAGCAACGCTGACCAAAGTGTCTACTTGTATACACTTTTTTGGCACTCTCGAAATATGACAAAAGTTATGCACTATATTGAGTGATAAAATTTTAAGATGTTTTGTGGTTAGCAATAGATCATCTTTAAAATTTAAGCCAGATCATGCTAATCAACTACTCAAAACCCTGCAATTGTTTCTACTTCATTCAGAATGAAACCTAGATTTCTTCTGGTGGCCTCCAAGGCCATGCATGATCTGTCTCCCTGTCCCTTCTTTGACCTTACTTCACACAACTCTGTCTCTTGCTAATGTTGCCGCAGTCACATTGGCTTCCTTTCTGTTCTTTGGACGCACGAGGACAATCCGTGGAGCTTTCTCCCTGGCTGCCCCTCTTTCCTGGATATCCACTGACCTCACCTTCTCAATGAGGCCTAATTGACCAACCAAATCAATACAAGAGTATTTACTTTTTTATACCATTATGTAAATTGCTTAGTTTTGTCTCTTGCTAGAGCATAACCTCACTGAGGTCAGGGATTTTGCCAGTTTTATTGCTTTGTTCCCAAGCATCTAGAATAGTACACAGGAAGTGCTCAAATATTTCTCAAATGAATTTTAATTTAATTTAATTTAATTTTAGTATGCTACCAGGAAAAGAAATCAACTATAGAATCTACCTTATCCTTAAAATCAATTGAACAATTATCATTTAATTACTACACTGGACTTTCACTATTAACATCAGTACATTTTAGGTTGAGTTGTTGGTGAATTGGAACAATTATTACACCAATTACTTAAACTCCTGCCTTTTGTTAGCTGTAATTCTGCCATGAACTAACTGTGATTTGGAGTCATTCATTTATCCCATCTGTGACTTAATTTACTCATCTGTGAAATGGGACACATCCTACTTATTCTGTTTATATATCACAAGTACATTTTGTGGCTCAAGTAAATTAAAATTCTTAAGAAAATATAATATGACATACAGTCAGTAAGTGTTAGCATTGTTAGGAATGGCAGAGGAGAGTTCTTCAAGGAGAACATCATCTTAAGAGGTAGTATCCTGTATCCTTTCAAAACAAGAAAATATTGGTAAGGGTATAAAACTGAAAGCGACAAACGGACAAGACAAATAAACAGAAACTTGTAGATACAGACAACAGTTTAGTGGTTACCAGAGGGTCAGAAGGGGGTGGTAGAACATAAAGTGGGTCAAATATATGGTGACTGAAGATTTGTCTGTGGGAGGTGAACACACAATGCAACAAATAGACGATATAGTATAGAATTGTACACTTGAAACTTATACA